AGGCAATTTGGTATTTTGGCTCTGATGCTTCACTCGAAATTAAAATACCAATTCGATGGTTTGCATTTGAGCTGTCTTTGCCCGAGCAGAGTATTGTATCAGTTAAGGAAGCTTTATGCATTGGAGAAAGATACGGGATGAATGAGGAAGATACTAAACAAGCTTTGAAATATTTCCATGATGTGAGTCTCATGTTATATTATCCAGAAGTTACAAATGTTGTATTTATCGATTCTAAACCAATCCTCGAGATTCTCTCACAGTTATTAGCTCTCGCGTATGTCACTAAAATTGATGCCCTAGAATTAATCATAGACAGACCTCTTCCTCTAAAAATTAAAAAAAATTTCAAGGAAGGATTTTTCAATGAAGATATTTTTGAGCGTTTGAAGGCAAAGTCTGTCATATTTTCCTTGCCAGAGTTCCAGTTGTGTGACCTAATCAGACTCCTCCTTCATCTTAATATCATCACAAAACTAGAAGATGAACCAAAGGGACACTACTTCATTCCTTATGCTCTTCCTTCATACAATGAACCAGTTTCAATAAAGGAGACTAATGCTAAGCCACTTCTCATAGTCTGGAGGGAAGAGAAAAGTGAAGAGATTTTACCAGTTCCTACAGGATTGTTCCCTTTAACCATCATACACTTACTCAACCAGAAAGAATACGTTACTAAAATCTCTCCGTTGACATCAGCAAGTTACAAATTTCGAAATGCCATGTCCCTTAAGATAACCTTCACACAAAAGCACACACTTCACCTCATCAACTGTTACACTCATATTGAAGTGTACTTTACTGGTCCTACCCAGCACTGTCCATTAGTACGTAAGCTACTCACAACAGCTGTTGATAATAGCAGTGATGTCATGCACCTCAAGCATAATCACGTCAATGCATTTGCTTGCCCTAACAACGAGAGCTGCTATTGCATTGTAAATGAAGATCATCATAAGGTAGCTGATTGTACAGTTTGTGGTGAATCTCCTGCTCTTAGCAATGACTACTGGACCTGGTTTGATGATGCACAAGGTATGTGTATACTAATAATTATTATTTATAATTTATCACTTGTGTATAGGACCTAATGAGAGTAACAATGGAACACAAATAGAACAAGATAATGATCAGCCATCAGATGAAAGTAAGGAAAT